TCTTTCCCTGGCACTACCATGCAGCAACTTCAGCTCCCTTGAGGTCACCTACTCTGCGTGGTGTAACTTTGTGCTGACACTGAGCTGCTTCTGCCCTAAGTCCCTCACCGGGCAACTAATTTCACATACACTTGAGGTTGGCCCATGTACCACCCTTCAAGCCGCTCAAACAGCCATGCTCAGTACACCCCAGGTGCAGCCCTTCAGGCCACCCTCAGCAGCTCTACTTCACACCCCCACACACTCAGTCCTTCAGGCACCCCTTATTATATCCTACTCTAAGTGAGCCCTTACACTACATCCAACAAGCTACCCCCTCTGGGGCCCCTGGGATCTCACATCCCTACTTGGCTCAGATGTCTCACTATTAATGTGCCTGGCCCAGCTTGCTCCCACTACTCTCACAATTACCCACTAGATGGTGGGGGCAGGGGTTAAGGCACCCCTACCTGCCTTTCACCAGGAAGGTTCGCGGTCCTGGCATTTAATTGAGACTGCCCTGCCACAGGCCGTCCCACCATGCCTTCTTACCTTGGCAGGGTGTAGTTTTGGTGATGCCCAGGATCAGAAGCCTCCAAACCATCCCCATAGCTCCTTACCTCCAAGATGTTCCTGAGCCATAGCTCAGCAGGCTGATGTTTCTCTCTCAGTGGCTGGCTGCAAACTGCTGCCTCACCCTGTAAGAACTGGGTCCTAACATGGCCATCCTAATCATGCACTTGCTGGTTGCCTGCCTCCAACCCTTAAAGTGACAAGCCCCATCTTGTGCACTGCCACAAGATGTAAAATGTAAAAAAGAAAAAAGTCTCTCTCTCCCTCACACACACACATTTCTAACATTTACTTCTGTGTTGATCTCTCTCCGTATCTCAAAATGAAGAAGCCATTAACTTACAGCAGACTCAGGAAACACTGGGTCTAAGACACTTCCCTCTTAGACTTTGTTCTTCCCTGTTGCTCATGGAAAATAACTTTACCTGAGAGGAGGAAGTACATTACTGCAGCCCTTGAAAGCAAGTTAGCCGATTCTTCCTTTGAATGTGACAGCTACTCTCGCCAGTGATTAATGGGGTCAGGGCCAAGATTTCATGTACTCTTCACTCTTTTTCGCTCACCCCTGCGTACTGGCTCAGAGTAGGGAATATCCAGGGACATGGTGCTCTAGTCTGCATGGCACCTGGACCCAAGGTTTTGGTAGGCTAAACAAATAGCAGTGGGCTTACTTCCCCTTCCTCCTCCACTTGGCTGAATAAAATTAGTGCAGATCAAAAGATAGTAATTTTAATTAAATAAATCTTCTCTGAAAAATAATTGAATGAATGTGTGCTTGTGCAT